ATTGGTCTGTAATTAGACGATCAGTATGATCCCGGTCAGGTTTTGGTAATGGCACAATGGTATTACGCAATGAAGGTGGAAAATTCCCTGATGTCCATATTTTGTCAAATATATCTAGAACTGTTTCCAGACATGAATCAGGCGAATGCTTCTGGAGCTGATACTGGATATCACCAGCGCCTGTTGCTTTATCATGAGTTTGCTCAAGGGCAGTATGTAGCTCATGTAAGGAAAATAATTCGTTATAATATTCACCATTGTCTGGTTGAAGTGACAATGTGTCATTAATAACAGTGTCAAACAGCAACGGTTGTCCAAGATGCACAGGGGTGTTATACTTATACAACAGAAATGACTGCATTTGTCTGGTTCTGCCCAAGACAAGACTCTTAGCAAATCATTATACCAATAATTTCAATTTCTCGGAACAATGACAGATACACAAGAGAGTAGCATTACTAAATTCAACGGCATTGAAAATAGCAATAAAATCGCTGCTAGGGATAATTACTTAGCAAGAGAACTTCATGAAAAGGCGATGGGCATCCAGCGCAAGAGGGCTGTTTACATTACCACTTGTCTTGGTGCAATATGAGAAGATTGAGGCATGCTCTTGCCTCGTCAATAAGTTCAATCATGTTCCATAGAATGTTGAATGATTCTGCGATGTCTTGTGATGTTCAGGGTAACGCATAACCCAAAAAGTAACTACGTATTAAATGCTTGAATTATATATAAATACACTCCATACCTCTAATTATTGACAAAACGCATCGTAATGAATCTGTAATGAATTTTAACCGCAACAACCTAGAACAATCGTCACATTGAAAATGAGGTTATGGAGGAGACTGCCTCCGAATAAGATTGAACACGACTCCATCTTTTGTATGTCTATGAAAGACATGGTAAGACTACTACGGGCTGCTTAAGAAGAAACTCGGATATCAAGGGATATTTGTTTGACATGTGCTGGGAGTAACTTTAATTAGTGGAAATATCTTTTTATTCAATATAACTACAGAATGATGTACATGTATGTTGTGCTGGTTTAGCCACTTCATAATTCATTTGAAATGGACACAATTTGACAATATTCGTGGTCGATCTATTCTTAATGGGCCGTTTTACGAGACATGGAACTGAAATCTATTCATCATTTCAGCAATGCATGATTTGAACAAACATACAGCTTTCTAAGTATGGAAACATTGCGACGTAATATAGCGCATAAGAATACCCGCAAGTGAAGCAGGAGATGACATCTGCTCTCAGAATATCTATCTATCAATATGTACCAGTTTGACACTGGCCTTATCTATACAGCAAATATTAACAAGGAATATTCTATGGTTTTGGAGTTCTGCCGCTGAAACAAAGAGACCGGGACGAACGCACATGCTGGTTGCTTTGTCCTATTCTCCGAACCGGGATGATACACCCATGATATAAAATTTCCTCAGGTTTCAAATACCACAACTATAGGAATACTAGTGGAATCATAACGGCATCGATTGAATGAATCGTGATCTGATCTCGTAACACCAGAATAATCCTTCTGGCATAATTACTGGAGCCAGAAATGACATATCCAATATTCGGATGATTAGCATTTAATACTCTACACATATACTAGTAACAGGAACGATTTAGCAGAAACCAGAACATACTTTCACACTATTTTTCCTGCACAAATATGGATACCTTGCCTATTTACTTGACACATCACCACTACTTTTCGGTTTCATGAAACATCTCATGCTGTTGAAAATGTTGCATAATATAGGACACACACACATATTATATATTAAAATCATCTTAACAACACCTTATGCTGATATTGATCCTGCAGGTTAGGTTGGGTAGTGTATAGACAATCAAGCATTCCTAGCACTTTACTTCCATACCTGGAAAAACATCATAAAATGTTCCCCTATTTCAATACAGTAAAGGAGAAAAGTAATTTTTAGCAATTACTCACCTGTGAACGACGTGGATTTCGTGGGTTCACTAAAAATAGAATCATAATGATAGCAAATTAATGAATCATGAGTAACCTTAAAGGGGTTTTGAAAAATGTTTATGACTTTCAGTAAAAGCAATGGCAGGAAGGGCAAATATCACCATTACCTGGACCTATACCTTTGTGCAAGCACCATGTCATCCCACCTACATATTTGGTGGTCTGTGGTCCTGTGCATAGAGCTCAGGTCACTAATCAGTTGACGTTTAGCAACGTTGAGCGTGGAGAGTGTCCGTGGGTGACCATGTTTGGCAGCTTGACTCATGAGAGTTTCTAGGACTTCAGTCCTGTCCCACAACGAAACACAGGTGAGACAAGTGACTTGGTTCAAAATTGCCTCTGTTCAACCAGCAGAACATGAGTACCTGGTGAGATAACTCATGTGACCATTAACCCTCGATGCGCCTCACTGGCAGCTTGGTTTATCCGGGCTAATACAAGTTAATCCCATTCTGATTACAGCGTCCAGTAAATAACTAGTCAGACGGACACTAGGAGCTATATAAAAGAATTGTTATTGTTATTTATTATTTGTCATAGTTGTTGGTATCCTCAGAAACTCCCTACCCATAGGTTTAAAAATATTACTATATGCAAGTAATACGTTTTGATATACTTTTGACTGTGTGATGCATGTCTTGTTTTGTCATGATATATAGTGTGCACTTTTCTCTTCAGAGGTTCATGGAGGTACTTTTCTGAAAAAGGTACTGCTTATATCAGTGCTTACAGAAAGTAGTACATACACCCTACCAAACATTTTGCCAGATATGTTTCAGCTGAATGTTAATTAATTTTTCACTTTTTATATTTTAGCGAGACATGGTTCGTAGCCAGTGTTCAAGAAAAGTTGGTTTCAGATTCTGAATTTGATACAAAAAACGGAGTTACTAAAGTAATGAAGGGACAAGGTGTTTGTGCGTATTTCATGAAAATGACAATGCACGTGCATCCCGAGGTGTCATCCATATAAGAAGAGCCACCGAACATGCACTGAATCATTCACTGTTCGACAGTAGCGACATGCCACGATTATCAAGGGAACAGAGGGGCCAGGCTTTAGGAAGACTGAATGCTGGCCAGACTGCAAGACATGTTGCAAATCATTTTTCTGCTCAGCTCGAACAATATACCACCTGCAGCAACGAGTCCAAGCCACTGGAAGCACAGCCGACCGTCCTCGCAGTGAAAGACCGCCTGTGAAAACGTTGAAGCAAATCGGCAGATTGTCCGTCATCACCTGCAAAATCGTTTCGCATCGGCTACGGAAACTACACGGATCAATCAGCGCCGACACAGTGCGGAGGCGTTTGAGACAGAGAATCGTCAGACGTCGCAGGCCGTACCGGGGTCCAATCCTCTTGTTTGACATCGTCGTGCTCGTCTCCAGATTGGCGTCACCAGGAGTGGCTGGCTGTAGTCTTCTCCGACGATAGCCGGAATTGCATCTCGACGGCTGATGGCAGAATGAGAGTGTGGCGACGACGCGGGGAGCGTTTTGCAGATGATTGTGTCCTGGAAAGAGACTCGTGGGGAGGTAATGGTGTGGGGTGCTATTGCTCTCAGTCACAAACTAGGCCCTATGGTGTTCCAGAATATTGGTCCTGGTAGAGGAAATGGTGTAACATCTGCCCGCTACAATAATCAAGCGCTGACACCCTTCGTCCTGCGACATTTTGGTCGTCATGGAAACCACGCCTTCCAGCATGACAAAGCGCATGCCCATACTGCCAGAGCAACTATAGACTTTCTCCGTCAACACGGCATACAAACTCTTGAATGGTCTGCCCTCAGTCCAGACTTAAACCCAATAGAACATTTGTGGGGCGAGTTCAGAGGAGGCTCAATGATGTGCGACCAAAGCCGACAACTGCAGATGAACTCTCTCCGGCATATCACCGAGTGGGGCGCAAGTTCCTATGGTATCATCCACTCCATGTGCAGACGATGCAACGCTGTAGTCAACGCTCAAGGAGGCCATACACGTTATTGACTTTCGGATCGCACTGTTGCGCCACCTGTCGTCAGTTTGGCTTGTCGTTGTCTGAAATTCGTCTTTAAGTATTGATTATGAAACATGTCAATTTTGAAAACTTTCTGACAATTATTATGTTATTTACATGTGTTTGAATTAAACTGATTACCAATTTCAAAAAGGGAAAGACGTTTTTTTGCGGTTCAGTGTTCAAATGGATGAACGTTAAGTACCATTAAATATGTTGAGCGCTTGCAGAATACGTTCATGTTCAGCTTGTGAATGAATACACACATGATAATTATGTTCATTTAAGAAATTATTGCAAGTGGACTAAGTGGAAAGTGCATCCCAAACACACACTGAAGAGCATGTCCAGGAGCAAAACCAAGATTTTTCACAAGTTGATTTTGTGCACGTGCCACATGTCGGTAATTAATTTGCACGTGTTTCTATGTTCAATCGGCACTCGTGAAAAGCAGTCTTCTCGTGGTGAGTGCAAATAGCTCTTTCAAAAAGCATGAAACGTTTACCATCGTACTGTGCCTGCACATCACTGATGTTAGACGAAACATACTTTCTAAAAAATACTTTGTGCTTAACTTTTTTCCAGGTAAATCAACACTTTCCTTTCAAAAATAAACGTTTACCATCGTACTGTGCCTGCACATCACTGATGTTAGACGAAACATACTTTCTAAGAAATACTTGGTGCTTAACTTTTTTCCAGGTAAATCAACACTTTCCTTTCAAAAATAAACGAAAAAGGAAAATATTTAAGAAAAAAATGTCAGTATATATGTTGTATCCAGAGACCACTTTAGTCTCTAAAGTAGACTAATCATTGGATTACCAGATAGCTGATTTCTAATGAACATAGATAAGTTGTATACTGTGAAAACCGACATCCATTCAACATGAATAAAGATACAGTAAGACAACCGATATGTATTCACCATAGATAAAGTGTGCAGTGTGATAACCCGTATCCATTGAACATTCACAGGTTGTAGAGTATCAACTTGTTCATCTTACAAATTTGATGCAATTGGGATAACCTCTGGATTTACACCAATGCTTTCTTTCGCAATTTCAGCCGCAGACGTTGAAGGCAGGCTGGCAGCATGTTCAGTATCTGCTGCCATTTCATCTGTGGCACCACTAATGAAAACAACATAACTTTGAGTGCTTACAGAAAAGGGTGAATATATCAAAATAGGGTGTTTCTGCTGAGGCCGTGACATGTTCTTACAGAAAAGAGTGAATATATAAAATTAGGGTGTTTCTGTTAACACAATGACCAAAACACATTCTGTTTTTAAGTGAGGAGATCCAAAAGATTCACTTACCTTTTGTAGTGTTGACTTTTCTCTTTTGATGATCCCTCAGTCAACTTCCTGAAAAGAGTCGCTTACCTCAGTACTTTCAGAAATAGTAAATATAGAAGTTATATCAAACATTACTTTCCTTTTGAAAATTGACGAAACAGCCTTCGTTGTGACAAAAGTACTTTTGCCTCATGTTTAAAAAATATGAATACATGATGCCTTTTAGAATGTGGTCAAATGTAACATGGGTTGTATTTGGAATTACACTTTCTCATGTTATATTTGGCGATTGGGTGCCTGACTCTGATGGTGTCGGTTCGAATCCTGGATGGAACTCAACCCAACAAAATGTACTAGAATCTGTACTTTATTGTGAAAGTGTAATCCCAAACATAATAAGTTACATTTCACCACTTTCTAAATGGCATTGTGTATTCATTTATAGGTTGTTCAATATGATAACTGATATCCACTTAACAAAAGTTGGTTATGCAAGTATGAATTGTTGAACGCACACTACTGAATCCTGATTGCGAATCTAATGTAAGTGGAGTGTTTACTGGATTTTCACCAACCTCTTTTACGCATCTTCACTCAAAGACTGTGAAGGCAAGGCGGCCGCATCTTCTTTGTTCTCCGCCCTTTCTCTGGTATCACTGATGTTGTCAGTTGCCGGCTCAGTGCAAACTTGCAAACTGCAGCTGGGAGCATCCTTCCCAATGCCTTGCAAAAAGTTCTTAAACATTGTCTTCACCGTTTCCTGATCTTCCATCATTCTGCCTCTATCTTCCTCAGTATCATGTAGAAATTCCAAAACAAGACATGACTTGTTGTGCATTTTTTTTAATTTACAACTATAAAGTCCCTTCAGTTTATCAATGAACTCAATGAAATCACCGTCGCTCACAATGCTTTCTATCAGTCCGTGCACAACATTCTTAAAATTCCATGTTGACCCGAGAGTCCGTCCCTGACCATCATCTTGTTCATAGCAACAGTAAGTCATCTTGTTGTTGGCACATTCAACTGTCAAAATATAATACAAAATAACACATATCGTTAAATAAGAAAGAGAGCCAAAGAATTGATTGGTTCTAGTGTTTGTGATTCAATATCGCAATAATTTCAGCATTGGCTCCATTAGAGTCCTCACGGTTGTAACGAACTGACAAGGAACACATTTTGTTTGAAATATAATAGCTATAGATTGCAGTAAAAATGTCAGTTTGTTTTATCTGTCAGTTTATCATTAACGTAGTTAGACTGTGCATCCTATCACTTACTAGATATTCATGTGATATTTCAAGCGTTAACGTTGTGCAAAAGAGGCAAATGATTGATTTTGGAACATAAATCCTTAATAAGCTGGGAAATATCAGTCGTTTTGTTCACGTTCGTGCTCACTGGTCGATAACAACTTATCGCACGGGTGATTTCGTAGATAATGTTCTGTTGTTTGACAAACAAGGATAAGATTAGTTGTATCTAAGAAAAGATTACGCTTACCCTGCACGATTGTTTTACCATTTTCTGCTGGAACTGAAGAAAGAAATGGAATTTATATTTCGTATTACAGCAGTCAAATAAAATGCGACAAAATATGTAATATTTGTTTTGTTGCAAATTACGTTTGGGGAAAAGATATGTCGTGGATAGTGTAAAATTATGACACAATGACCTATGAATTAGTAAGCTCGATTACATTAACTTACCCGATATCCGTATTTTTGGCTTGACACCTTTGTCAGTAGAGATTGCAACACCATCGGATGACTCTACCGAAATAGGTAAACATATCAGCTGAATTAAATCTGTTACGAAATATATATATGGGTTTCTTGATGGATAGTTATTGTTTAAAATGAGTTTATCAGCATATGTAAATTTTCAAGCTGCTCTGTCCGCTGTCCTGTGTGCTGTATGCTTAGCACTCATTTCGTACATTATCTCATGGTGTCGCGAGGTTTATGTCCTACCTTCCTGTACTCTACATAATAGAGGTTTATGTCCTATCTTCTTGTTCTCTACAGAATAGTGTTGTATGTCTTATCTTCTTGTACTCTACAGAATAGTGTTGTATGTCCTATCTTCTTGTACTCTGCATAATAGTGTTGTACGTCCTATCTTCTTGTACTCTACAGAATAGTGTTGTATGTCCTATCTTCTTGTACTCTACAGAATAGTGTTGTATGTCTTATCTTCTTGTACTCTACAGAATAGTGTTGTATGTCCTATCTTCTTGTACTCGACATAATAGTGTTGTACGTCCTATCTTCTTGTACTCTACAGAATAGTGTTGTATGTCCTATCTTCTTGTACTCTACAGATCAGTGTTGTATGTCCTATCTTCTTGTACTCTACAGAATAGTGTTGTATGTCCTATCTTCTTGTACTCTACAGAATAGTGTTGTATGTCCTATCTTCTTGTACTCTACAGAATAGTGTTGTATGTCCTATCTTCTTGCACTCTACAGAATAGTGTTGTATGTCCTATCTTCTTGCACTCTACAGAATAGTGTTGTATGTCCTATCTTCTTGTACTCTACAGAATAGTGTTGTATGTCCTATCTTCTTGTACTCTACAGAATAGTGTTGTATGTCCTATCTTCTTGTACTCTACAGAATAGTGTTGTATGTCCTATCTTCTTGTACTCTACAGAATAGTGTTGTATGTCCTATCTTCTTGTACTCTACAGAATAGTGTTGTATGTCCCATCTTCTTGTACTCTACAGAATAGTGTTGTATGTCCCATCTTCTTGTACTCTACAGAATAGTGTTGTATGTCCTATCTTCTTGTACTCTACAGAATAGTGTTGTATGTCCTATCTTCTTGTACTCTACAGAATAGTGTTGTATGTCCTATCTTCTTGTACTCTACAGAATAGTGTTGTATGTCCTATCTTCTTGTACTCTGCAGAATAGTGTTGTATGTCCTATCTTCTTGTACTCTACAGAATAGTGTTGTATGTCCTATCTTCTTGTACTCTTCTACAGAATAGTGTTGTATGTCCCATCTTCTTGTACTTCTACAGAATAGTGTTGTATGTCCTATCTTCTTGTACTCTACAGAATAGTGTTGTATGTCCTATCTTCTGTACTCTACAGAATAGTGTTGTATGTCCCATCTTCTTGTACTTTACAGAATAGTGATGTATGTCCTATCTTCTGTACTCTACAGAATAGTGTTGTATGTCCCATCTTCTTGTACTCTACAGAATAGTGTTGTATGTCCTATCTTCTTGTACTCTACAGAATAGTGTTGTATGTCCTATCTTCTTGTACTCTACAGAATAGTGTTGTATGTCCCATCTTCTTGTACTTCTACAGAATAGTGTTGTATGTCCCATCTTCTTGTACTCTACAGAATAGTGTTGTATGTCCTATCTTCTTGTACTCTACAGAATAGTGCTGTATGTCCTATCTTCTTGTACTCTACAGAATAGTGTTGTATGTCCTATCTTCTTGTACTGTACAGAATAGTGTTGTATGTCCTATCTTCTTGTACTCTACAGAATAGTGTTGTATGTCCTATCTTCTTGTACTCTACAGAATAGTGTTGTATGTCCTATCTTCTTGTACTCTACAGAATAGTGTTGTATGTCCTATCTTCTTGTACTCTACAGAATAGTGTTGTATGTCCTATCTTCTTGTACTTTACAAAATAGTGTTGTATGTCCTATCTTCTTGTACTCTACAGAATAGTGTTGTATGTCCTATCTTCTTGTACTCTACAGATCAGTGTTGTATGTCCTATCTTCTTGTACTCTACAGAATAGTGCTGTATGTCCTATCTTCTTGTACTCTACAGAATAGTGTTGTATGTCCTATCTTCTTGTACTGTACAGAATAGTGTTGTATGTCCTATCTTCTTGTACTCTACAGAATAGTGTTGTATGTCCTATCTTCTTGTACTCTACAGAATAGTGTTGTATGTCCTATCTTCTTGTACTCTACAGAATAGTGTTGTATGTCCTATCTTCTTGTACTCTACAGAATAGTGATGTATGTCCTATCTTCTTGTACTTTACAAAATAGTGTTGTATGTCCTATCTTCTTGTACTCTACAGAATAGTGTTGTATGTCCTATCTTCTTGTACCTCTACAGATCAGTGTTGTATGTCCTATCTTCTTGTACTCTACAGAATAGTGTTGTATGTCCTATCTTCTTGTACTCTACAGAATAGTGTTGTATGTCCTATCTTCTTGTACTCTACAGAATAGTGTTGTATGTCCTATCTTCTTGTACTCTACAGAATAGTGTTGTATGTCCTATCTTCTTGTACTTTACAGAATAGTGTTGTATGTCCTATCTTCTTGTACTCTACAGAATGGTGTTGTATGTCCTATCTTCTTGTACTCTACAGATCAGTGTTGTATGTCCTATCTTCTTGTACTCTACAGAATAGTGTTGTACGTCCTATCTTCTTGTACTCTACAGACTAGTGTTGTATGTCCTATCTTCTTGTACTCTACAGAATAGTGTTGTATGTCCCATCTTCTTGCACTCTACAGAATAGTGTTGTACGTCCTATCTTCTTGTACTCTACAGAATAGTGTTGTATGTCCTATCTTCTTGTACTCTACAGAATAGTGTTGTATGTCCTATCTTCTTGTACTCTACAGAATAGTGTTGTATGTCCTATCTTCTTGTACTCTACAGAATAGTGTTGTATGTCCTATCTTCTTTGTACTTTTACAGAATAGTGTTGTATGTCCTATCTTCTTGTACTCTACAGAATAATACGAGTGTTGTATGTCCTATCTTCTTGTACTCTACAGATCAGTGTTGTATGTCCTATCTTCTTGTACTCTACAGAATAGTGTTGTATGTTCTATCTTCTTGTACTCTACAGAATAGTGTTGTATGTCCTATCTTCTTGTACTCTACAGAATAGTGTTGTATGTCCTATCTTCTTGTACTCTACAATATTTAGCTATGTGTCCCACCTTCTTGTATTCTATACTGCCGTATTGTGTGCCCTTACTTCATGGACTCAAAAGTGTGGTATTAGTAGTGTGAACCTTTCTGTACTGTATTACACTGTGTTGCGTGAACTACCTTGTTGTACTGTATATTTACTGCATTAAAGTGGTAATTGCAGTGGAGACTGTATTCCATGAAACTGCAGAGTATCACGGTTCCCATATTATTGTCAGTCCACATGTTTGTAATACATACCAGTATGTACATGCTGTTCACGGATGTGTTGTTCATTGATGAAAACACCAGATGTTGTACATTTATTGACATCACTTTTGTTCGACCCTAGTATTTGTTTAAACTCCATCGAAACGTCTGAAAATAAACACAATGTTATCTACTCACTTTCTTCCAATTTCTGGAGTGTGGGGTATTTTCGATTCCCCAAATTGGTACAATTTTGTCCTACGCCGTGTTATTGCTGGAATATTGCTAGAAAACGCGCAAAACTATACTCATTAACTCTTGCAATTTCTAAGTGCCTAAAACGACTTCGTTATCACCTCCACATTTCAAGTAAAAACAACTTTATGATGCTTGTAAATGAAATCAATTAATCACTTAATAAATTCAACAATAATGCTTTCATTTACAAGGTTCATCATATGCAGTAAATTGTAAACTGAATATAGTGGACATTTGTGCAATTCACTCATCCGTTTCAACAGACATATGCTGTATAGGCGGGTAAAGAGTCCTTTGTTGACAGGTGACCTACTTTACTTGATGAATGGGATTAATGAGTTTTTAATTCCTTTCACGTGGCCTCATACGTGGGTTGCTAGGTGACCTAATGGAAAAACCCACCCTTATCAGTTCAAGACACGCATAAGGGCATGGCATGCCATGAGAAATAAAATATGGTATCACCGAATCAATAAACAGTATCCATCAATGAAAAGTTGTTTCTGTCACAACTGAAATATGTGAATGCCATGTGAGGCTGTAACTGATAAGATAGATCATATGATCGGTTGATATATGACTTTAAATAACCCTTTTTTGGCCCTCAAATAGATACGCCCCTCACGTGACCCATACTCTGATAACCAAATGAATAATCCAACCGTCTCGTTATCCCTCCAGTACATCATTGATGATTTTATAAACAAGGAGAATCACCTAAAATACAGAGATGACAACCCAGTCTATGTAGGTTCAAATGTTTGAGTGACTGTGTTTAGGCATCTTTATCTTTATCTAAGCCCCTGTTTCTTTTTGAACTGGCCCTGGTCTGATAATGTCCTGACCTTGCTAAGCCCAAGTGTCTTTGACCTCAATCTTGTACTCAAAATGTAGCCAGTAAAGTCAATGTGTGTCTATACTGTAAAACGTGAGGTTGAACCTGAAGATTTGAGTTACTAACTGTGACAATGACACAGTTGTCAGTAGAGTAGTAGAATACTTAATTTGCTATATTTCAACGCCAGCAATGTCCTACTGCTGGGCCGCCTCACCTCGGTCTGATGAATATTTAGTTTATGTTTAGAATATGGACACATATTGTTAGAATATATGGTCAGGACTTATGGTCAGGATGGACAGAACTAAGACTAAAGCTTAAACATGCAAGAGGTGTTTGGGATACGGCAATGAGTATGCTTGGGGGAATGTTGTCTACGAAGACACGTTTACCTGTGTCTACTGCAAGTCTTAATCAAGGATAAGGTTGCCTCAAGAAATGTATTCATATTGAAATTGAAATCAATATACCATTGGTAGGTCTGACTGATCTGGATAATTGCATTACAACCTACTAAACACATTGTCATAGTTCACACATCATACAGAAGATTTCCATATCTACACTTACGGACCATTTCCAACAGCCAGTGGTCAACTGAGGTCCAGCACATACCTACGTTGTCTAGGTACCCAGTAATATTGAATCTAAAGTCTGTAGGATTGCACACAATGAATATGGTTATGATTTTCATGAAATAACCATTGAAATGGCTAAATTCAAATTCAAAAGTTTATTCTAATGCAAACATTTCAGTACATCATTCAATTGGTTTGACGTACCAAATGATAAATGAGAATGGTCTTTTACATTCACATGACATGCAAAATCAACTACATTTCTTTTAATTGTATGTTTCATATCAAAGAATTGTCTTTCCCCTTGGATACTGCTCTCATTATTTGGAGTCAGGGCTCTGTGGGAAGAGTATGTATCATATTCCCGAACGTCGTGTGATTTGGCCCTGTTAAATTGTATGAACTCCTTGAAAAGCCGAAGGTCAATCCTACCATCCTCCCCAATAATACACACACACACCTCTCCTAGAGTAGCATTTCCCCATAAATTTTTGACTTCATGATTTATGTGCATCTCCCCTTCTCCAGAATCATGGATCCGACTCTGTGTTTATGTATTCATTCGATTGTGCAAATAAAAAGTATGTTTGGTTAAGCTCCCAAAATTTGGTAAAACCCTGATATATCTCCAATTTTAATGTATGAAGTATATGGTACTAATTCCGAAAGAGTAGGACCAAAATATCACTCTCTACGAAACAGTTCCTCATAGAGATCACTTAAAACACAATGTCGGTACGAGTTACAATTATCTAAAGGCCTGTTTATACGGCGACATTTGCACATGTGTTTATTTTTTGCATATGTGTAAATTTGCTTACAGGAGTATATTTGGTCGTATAAACGCAATTACACATATGCAAATTTTACTACCCCAAGCAAAAATACTCCTGGCCTAGACCAGGTGCAAATGTTTTACTACCGGTGAGTAAATGCTTATTTTTTGCTACCCTAAGCAAATCTGGTCGTATAAACGCATAGCAAATTTACTCAGGGTGAGTATTTGTCCCGCTCGATTTCATAATGGCTATTTTGGTAGTTTCCCGCGTATACTTTACGCGCCTTATTGGTCACATATCTGTCAGTTGATGTCTAGCTTCCATTAAAAACAGACACACGACAATGGCGAACCGGAAAGGAACTCGAGGTGCCAAAAGACGCGGTTCCGCTTGGAATGACGAGGAAACAAAATGCCTATTGGCAATATGGGAAGATAACAGTATAGAGGAATTACTGGAAAACCCCCAAAGCAACAATGTTTCGGTGTACAATACTGTCGCGACGGAAATGGGTACAAAAGGATTCAACAGGACATCCTGACCAATGTAAAGTGAGAATCCATACCTTAACGAGGACATACAGAGAGTGTAAATCAAACCCTGAAGAAAAGTGGAAAGGGAAGGAAACTTTGTAAGTTTTTGAAGAACTGGACGCCATTCTTGGTACCAGACCAGCCTCGTCGCCTCTAAAGGTTATAGATACATTGACCAAGAAAGTCGAAGATGAAGGAGGGGATTCTTGTGAACCTGATGATACAGCACAGGCAAACACACAGGCTGTTGGTGACAGTTGTGCTGACATTACACCTCTTACTGATAATGAAACTGAAAGGGATGAAAAGGATGCATCTGACACGGAAAGCAGAAAGAATAAAGAAAGGTATCCACTGAAGGGGAAAATGAAAAAGGTGAAAAGCGAGAAGAAAAGAGCTCGGAAGACGAGGATGGAAGTAGCACTGAAATCTGTGATGGATGGATTTAGTGCAGCAAACGAGAGATCTGATGATAAGGTTCTTGACCTTGAACGCCAGAAAATAGAACTTGAACGCCAAAAGCTTGATGTCGAGAAAGCCAAGATCGAATCAGATGAAAGACAGAAGCGTGAAGAGAGACAGCACCAGTTCAACATGATGAATATGATTATGAGAGCTGTACGGGGGACAGGACAACAGCCCCCACCTGACCCATACAGCACGGGTTTTACAGCTCAGTATGATGGAGGTGAATCGGTAAGAGGTCCGGGCCCTTCATCACGCTATTCCTCGACAGTCAACCAACAATCTTCAAACGACGATTCTTGGATAACTGATACTGAAGACGGAACAAGTTTCTACAATTTGTAGACTTCATGAATGACACAAGACTATAAATGATACATTCATGATTATTTTAACTATTGCTCAATTCTGTTTTCTCATCAACCGCCATGAAGTTCATTGGCGTTTGGTTTCCATTTCATCCTTCGAGTTAGTTCCAGTGTGTGTCTTGAGACGTTTCCGTTCTGGTGTTTGTCCAGCCATATTCTTAGTGCTGCTGTAATCACAATGTTCATTTGAGCAATCTAGACAGCATCTAGATATAAGCCTTGTAATAATTCATGTTCTCTTATGAATAAAGGATTTTTAGATTTAGTGCACATTTCACTTTTTCCGAAAAGAAGAAAAAGCATGGTTTCACCCTTCTGTTACCAGCTTTGAATAATTACTGAAAGCTCTCGTAATTATCCTTACAGCTTTGAGGATAATGCTGTTGAAACCATGACTTGTCATTCACTAATAAAGTCAAATGTTTGCGTATCTTACCGTTTCGAAAATCATGATCCTGGTTTTGAGGCTATTGAAAGTGTGTATTATAGCTAATGCAAAAACGCCATGTCAAATTGTTCTCTGAGGTTATGGTCAATGTGTTGCAATATTGTATTGGTGTGTTGGCATAAAAGAAAGGATTGCTTACATCTTCACAAAATACTTTAATTTGAATTTTGAAACACGTGCATGTACAAGTTTAAATGCTTACAATAATCACCAATATGAACTATACATGGTTTACTCCAAAGTAAATGTCTTCACAAAATGAATAATGTCTTTAAACACATCATTGCAGAAAGCCAGCGCGATTTCATCACGCAGAGCTTTCGCACATTGAATCCCTTCGTCGCCCCCATCCTGTACATCCAGTTGGTAGTCATTTTCTTCTCCGTCTTCTTCGGTGTCCCAATCCTCCTTGTAGAGGTCACGTACACTCTCGCAAATGTTGTGGAGGACAACACAGCATGTAATTACCGTGCAGGCAAATTCGACGTCAACGTCCATCCTCTTCTGAAAACACCGCCAGCGTCCCTTCAAGCGACCAAACGCGTTTTCAATCGTCATCCTGGCTCGGCTGAGTCGATAGTTGAAGGTACTCTGAGCTGGAGTGAGGTTAGCTCTGCCAGTGTAGGGCTTCAATAACCATGACTTTAAGAGGGGTATGCTGCATCACCAAGGAGCACCAAGGGCATCTGTGTATTTCGATGTTCTTCGACCAGTTTGGTAAGAGAGAACCATCATCACCAAGGAAATAAATGTCTGAGTTCACAAAGACACGGGCGTCATGCACTCTGCCTGGCCAGCCAATATTGATGTTTGTAAACATCTGGTTGTGGTCACATACCCCTTGAAGGATAAAGAGAATAGAAACCTTTCCTGTTCGTGGTAGTCACCGTGTGAAAAGTTAGGAGCTATGATAGGGATGTGACTGCCATCTATAGATCCTACACAGTTTGGAAATCCCCAACGCTCCTCATAGCCCCTGATAACATCCTTCAATGCGTCTCCCTGGGGAACCTGACGTATTCAGTCAGGAGAAGTTTTCATGATGGCTTCGCACACTTGATGGATGCAGATACATACGGTTGCCTTCCGACACCAAAAAGGTTGGCCACAGTTCTATATATTCTGCGGAGGAAGCCATCCAATAGATTGTTATAGCAACCTTTTTCTTCACATCCAATGGTTCCTCAACTGTATGTTCAGAGGGGAGAGGCTCATCGTTTAGTCGAGTGCAGATCAATTCATACGCTTTCTCTTAGCATTCTAAAATTTTCTAACCATTCGGCATCGGTGAAATGTTTGCCAACAACTTCCGTATACCAATGACTTGATCTTGGCTTTCTTCTAGAAGTTCGATCATTGGAACATCCCAGTATCAGACCAACACTGATGTAATATGGGAAATGCCTATACCTTCTTCTTATCGCGCGTCTTACTCCATCCATTGCTAGTGCAGAAATGAACTATTATCAACATTTACTACCGCTTTGCCTAAAGTCCGTATGAACGCATAGCAAATTGCTCACCCTAGCAAATTACACTCCCTATGTAAATTTACTCATGTATGCAAATTTGCACATGTGTATATTTTCGCCGTATAAACAAGCCTTTATTGACCAAAATGTAACTTTCTTTCCTACTGATCTAATGTTTTTTTGTGTCTGAAAATAGTAAAACTGAATAAAAAGAACTAAAATCGTTCTCGTAGTAAGACTCTATTTGATAATTTGACGCTCTGAACATGGAACGTTTTTTGACAGAACGGTATCTTACTCTGCTGGTGTACTGGAGGCCTGCATGCTTCTTCTGTACCGTCACGCTGAGGACAATCATTGTTGTCAATGTCGTCGGTGCTGACATCACTCGTGTCTGGATCCATCTCCGTTGTCGGCGACAGCATCTAGACGACACGTGATACTCATATAGACCACCACTGACAGATATACGGAGACACTGGCTGAGTGGTATTTTAAGTGTATTTTATTGATAATTCACAGTGAAAATGATTTCATGATAATAAATCTACAGACCTTCGTAACATGTGACACAAACCGATTGATAATTTGCTCGCTCACTTACCCAGTACTTACTCAATATGTAAATAACGATTGTCTCATGAATCTTCTTGAAAATGCCAACTCTAAATCTACAGCTCTTTGTGCAAACTTTACCAAAAAAACTTTCATGTTTCATATATGTTACCCTCTGGTACACTCACCCACCTCTTTTATTTTCTTTATCATGATCCCAGGCATCTAGAGGTGGAAAACAAGAAATGAATGGTCATGTATTCAGTCAGATCCAGCTACACATGCATACACACCGACACGCTTGTAGGCAGTTGAACGTTAACAATACTAGGTATGCATACTATAAATAGCATGTACTCTGTCTCCATTTAAGGGTAGCCGTCATTATCGCCCTCACGTGCCAAACTAATTATTCTCTGCATATTAACTTGCTGCACATTTTTATTACATTTAGATAACAATCATATCCCTAGGATAAGATTGTACCGTTCACTCTCATGCATGGGTACTGTATTATATGGGTTCAATATCTACAGTCAACAATGTTACTGGTGCACCGGGTAGGGGGAAACCGAAACTAGGGGATTCCCCTATTTTATTATAATTGGACATTTACTAATAACAGAGCGATCAGAATTAACTCTGACACTCGAGGAAACTGTCACCGGAAATATTGAACATGAACCGTAGTATGGTATTAAAGGGTAAGAGTTGTATGGCCACGATTGACAGATATATACATGCAATGCATATATAGTAATCTACTTCCGTGTAATACTCATTATCTATTTCTTTTCAAAGCAGATCAAGCCTAACCCTGACGATTTACTCACCTAAGTGTTGTCAAATTATTCCCTCAAATCATTCCAGGACTTGTAACACATCTACAAATAGAGAACTCTGTATTAAGACGTGGTAGGAGATAAACGCTGGGAGTCGCTCTTCTCCGAGACGCCTCCAGTTGCGGGCATGTTCTCTGACGTCATACAACCGGTGTTGTATAACAAAGCGTGCCCTGCACCGATATGCACAACATTACTGTTTGCATGTTGAGTGGGTAAATGGGACTCGATGTATGTATGTGGAGAATCGAATTTGAGTCTTTGCCGTCACCCTGTCTGTCTGTCTGTGTGTCTGTATGCATGCATGCCTGTTTGCCTGCCTGTCTGTCTGTCTGTTTGTCCATATGCATGTTTGTCTGTCTGTCTGCATGTCTGTAAGTCTGTCTCTCTGCCTGCATGCTTGTCTGTATGTTTGTCTGTCTGTCTTGCATGTCTGTATATTTGCCTAACTCTGTCTGTATGTATGTATGTCTGTATGTCTGTATGTATGTATGTATGCATGTCTGTCTGCAATGCCTGTCTGTATGTCTCTCTGTATGTGTTTATGTCTGTCTGTCTGTCTCCATGTCTGTCTATATGCTTGTATGTCTGTCTGCCTGCAAGTATGCATGTCTGCCTGTCTGTCTGTTTTCATGTCTGTATGTCTGTATGTATGTATGTCTGTCTATATGCCTGTCTGTCTGCATGCATGTCTGTCTGTCTGTCTGCCTGCATGCCTGTCTGTATGTATGTATGTATGTATGTCTGTAATGCCTATCTGTATGTCTCTCTGTATGTGTTTATGTCTGTCTGTCTGCCTGTCTGTCTATATGCCTGTATGTCTGTCTGCCTGCATGCATGTTTGTCTGTCTGTCTGTATGTTTTTATGTCTGCCTGTCTGTCTGTCTGCCTGTATGTATGTATGTATGTATGGCTGGAATCATGCAGAATGCCGTGCTCCTCATGACGTGAAGAAACTGGGCGTGAACACATAACGGGTGACACGAACACATGAGCTGTTAGGTACAAAAACAACATTCAACCGCTCACTCCGCACATATTTACGCACTGAAGGCAAGAATGACTTTTGACATTGCAATTTAATGCTTACTGTCATACATGGTTAGACCACAAAGAGCGTCACGGTATTGTTCGCGGTCAGGACTTGAATCCGTGGTCAGGACTTGTATCCGTGGTCAGGACTTGTATGTAGACTTGTACAAACCCTCGGGTGTTCGTCGAGGACATAGTACAGTGGTCACGTGGGGTCACGTTCTCGTAGGTAAGATTATATTTGTTGTGTTTGAAGGTCCTGAATGAGTTGGATTTGTGACGCTTTTAGTAACATTCCTGCGGTGTACACCAGGAATGGGCTTCACATACTGTACCCAGTGGTTGAAGGTACGTGTGTATTTGTTTGGAACAGGTACATGGCGTTCTTACTGAAGTCACACCAAGCATATATGATACATCTCAAGCGGTTTTAATGTTTTAAGCGCAAGTGGTACCGTTTGAATATGCTGTTATACGCTAAGAAAACGTTATGGCATTTTGTGTGAATACTCTACACACCACTAATATTACGAAAGGAAATCCCCAGCTCTCGGTCACCCATTGTATTCAGTTCAGCTCATTGCACATTCCGACGTTCAAAACGTCTCAGCCGCGAGGTAAAGACGTTTGTTAACAGCTGCATAAAAGGCCTGAATGGGATCACGTGTTAAAAGGTGTGAGTACGTTGCTTGTAATCACTCGGGTGTAGTGTGTTGATTCGTTGTTGTGATGTCAAGGTCAAAGTCAGTAGCGTGGAGTATCCCATCATAGCGGTATGGTTTAGAACAGGCAAACTGTAGAGCAGCTAGGGTTGCGCAGCAGAGAAAAAGTACCAGTCTTCCTATATGCGAGCAAGGCAAGCACAGGCTGGCAACGTACTTCCCTCGCTTTGGATCGAAAAGTATTTTTAATGTCAAAATGTAATGTCGCCACCATGAAAGGTAGACAAAGAGTGAGTGAGTGAGTTTAATTTGCATTTAGCAATATTACAGCAATATCTCGACAGGGGACGCCAGGTATGGGCTTCACACACTAGGGAATCGAACACGGGTCTTCGGTGTGACGAACGAAAGCTTTAACCACTAGGCTACTTCATTGCCCCGTGATACAAAGAGGGGGGTACACCCAGCATTCAGCCTAAATGCATTCGAAAGTCTAGGATTTATTTACTTATGAATGCTTAAACATTCCAGAAGAAGACATGGCAACAAGTAGACAACTGGGGTTGGGTAAGTTCTACATTAACTGAACAAGCGACTGACTACCAAAGATCTATAAAAAAAAAAATTGTTTTAAAAAAATGTCAGTGAGGATTCAATGTATTATGAGCAGATCAATGAAGTAATGATTGATAATTAATCTCTCAATCAAGGAGTTATTTAACAATGTATGAACATAGTGTCACTGAGATTTCCACTCAAATGCCCTCGTTTTAACGATGTCTCGAAATACCTTCGTTTTAACGATGGATCGATATGTTTTCTTTACCGAATGATCAATATGCGTTTGCTTTACCGAATGATCGATATACGTTTGCATTACCGATTGATCAATATGTATTCGTTCGAAAGATGGATCAATATACCTTCCTTTTACCGAAGGATTAAATTGTCGCAAGAGCAACGTCCAAGGTGCGTCATAAGAAATAGCAAAAACTTTAGGACGGAACAGTGTTAAGCCATCTCTTATGTACTCTGATAAGGGGTCATGTTTTGTTCAAAGGTTGCGAGCGATCAGAGCGGTTTGACACTGGACCGAGAGTCCACGCCATACACTTGTATCTCCTGACAGGTCAGTCATTAACTGGGTTTTATTTCATTAGTGTTTAACGCTATTTCAGATACTGGTTCGGTTCGGTTGTTCTTTAAGACCGCATTTCAATATTCCATCTTTATGGTGGCGGGCTGTAAGTAATCAAGTCTGGACCAAGCAATCCAGTGATCAACACCATGAGCACCGAAGTACGCAATTCTGATACGATGAGATGTGTCAACCAAGTCAGCGAGTCTTACCCCCGTTTGTCGCCCGTTACAATAAGCATCGGTTGCTGAAGACCACTTCTAGACGGATGTTCAGACAATGACTACTTCCCCTAAAACAGATCTGTGTTAAGACGGAAGCTGATAATACCTGTACAACTATGTGTTTTCATTTTCACGGTGTGACAGATCTGAACGGTTTTATATTCAGACTAAGCATGACGTGATACAGCACCGAACGGGAGGTAAGTGCTTATAGACAAGAGATAATATACTACGTGAATGGTAAAAATGTCCTATCTAACATACAAGCAGCACAGAATCTGAGAAGTGAAGCGTGTTAAGGTCCATGCTAGGATTAATTACTTTATGGATTGACTCTGGTGAACTTGTACATGTTACATGGAATGTGGGAAAACACGAATTTCACGTAGTCCCTAAAAGAGTCAGTGTCTTCGTGAAATTACTGCGACCCTCAGGTAGTTTATGTATTCCCTAAACTTCCAAGGGATTTCATGAAATTACTGAAATATTGGCTCAGAGATTTCATGAAACCACTATCTGCCTTTATTGAAATTGAAGGGAGTAATTAGCCAAGAGTGGCATCAGTAAATTGTCAAAGTTTTTAACTCCTATGAACTGAGGGATAAAATGAAACTCAACAGTAAATTGTTGTAAAGCTTTTTAAACGTTTTAAGCTACAAACATCAATCTCACACATTCACTGATAACCTAACAGGAAATGTATGTAATGGAACACCATGGAAATCAGTAATTGCATGAAATCCCTTGAAATGTTAGGGAATAAATGAAATCCCTGGGGGAGCACAGTGATTTCACGAAATCACTGACTCTTTAAGAGATTACGAAACAAAATCCGAAGATATGTCATGTGTGTAGGGACCCGTGAAGATCAGAGTTAGAATTGGTCCATAGCAGTAAATTAAGTGGCGACTATCTTTTGCTCGCTCCCGATGATCGATGCTCATGGTGTTGATCTCTGGATTGTCTGGGCCTAACTCGATTATTTGCAGACCGCCAATGTGTGGGCCAGCTGAGCGAAACAAAAAACATTTCATTCCTTTCTGGCTTCTTTTATAATAAAAGGTATCGATGGTCGTTTACGCGATCCTAAATATGTGTGAAAAAAGCTAAAATGTCCGGTGCATAAATGGCACGTGTAAACAGACGGCAGTTCCCGAGAAAGTAAATGGAGTACTCCGAGAATGGAGAAGGGTGGTGAAAGTAGCGTTGATAGGGGTGGCATATGTTTTTTTACATTCCTTGGGAAATGAATCCAATAACACGTGACCAATTCACCAATCAGAATGCATGGACTACAATGAACATGTAATTATTCACGTGTTTGAATATAGTTTCCTGTGTCAAACATTGACTTTAAGCTTGCTTGTTTCTTTCCTTGGTGTTTAGCGCAGCACTCAGCAATACCCTAGCTAAATGGCGGCGGTCTGTAAATAACAGATACTCCAATATTACGAGCATCGATATACGAAACTGGATACTATGAGATGCATCAGCGAGTCTGACTCCTGACTCCTACGACGAGCACGGGTTTATATTGTGTATATATTAACGAAAAAGACTGACATGTTTCAGTGTAACAATGTATGTAATTTCCTCCTCTGTCAGTCCTTGATTGCTTGTTCAAATTTAACAGATTAATTGAACAATTCGTCAGACTCTTGTCTTTAGAAGTGATGGCTCTTGTCATTAGAACTCATTTTCCAGTCATGAACACACTGTGTATACAGTTAGTGAAGTATGTACAATGTCACTTGGACAATAGCATCAATGGATACCAATCCTCTGTCGTCAGCACGAGGAACTGTCAGACCTCAACGTGTGGCCAGACTCTGCGACCCCAGGGAAGGTCGATGTCCATGATACCAAGGAGCACACTGGGCAGGTGAAGTTTGTATAGGTACTAAACTGATGCCATCTCGTGATAAGTCAATAAACGATTCACGATTTTACATTCATAAGTGGGATCGAGGGAATCCAGGATAGACTGTGTGACCTTATAGAGGATCCCAGGGGGTGTTCAGTGGTCTATGAGAGGGATCCAAGGGATGGTCAATGGTCTGTCAAAAGGATCAAGGTTATGTTCACTGATCTGTCAGAGCGATCCAGGGATGTTAAGTGTTCTGTTAGGGGGATCCAAGGGTTGGTCAGTGTTCTGTTAGAGGGATCCAAGGGTTGGTCAGTGTTCCGTTAGAGGGATCCAAGGGATGTTCAGTGTTCTGTTAGAGGGATCCAAGTGTTGGTCAGTGGTTTGTCAGAGGGATCCAGGTGATGTTCCGTGTACTGCCAGAGGGATCCAGATGATGTTCAGTGGTTTGTCAGAGGGATCACGTTGATGTTCAGAGGTCTGTCAGAGGGATCGAGGTGATGTTCAGTGGTCTGTCAGAGGGATCCAGGTGATATTCAGTGGTCTGTCATAGGGATCCAGGACATGTTCAGTTGTCTCTCAGAGGGATCCAGGGGATGTTCACTGTTCTGTCAGAGGGATCCAGGGGTTGGTCAGTGTTTTGTCAGAGGGATCCAGGGATGTTCAGTTTTCTGTCAGAGGGATCCAAGGGTTGGTCAGTGGTCTCTCAGAGGGATCCAGGGGATGTTCAGTGATCGGTTCGGGGATCCATAGAATGTTGAGTCCTTTATAGGGTTTCCAAGTCATACCAGTAGTCTGTAAGAGGTGCCTAGTGTTTTTAATGATCTGTTAAAGATATCCAGGTGAATCCACCGGTCTGTCTGAAGGATCCAGGGTTAATCTCAATTTTCCCCCAGAGGGATCCATATGTGTTCCAGTGGTGTGCAAGATTCTACTGTCTATCTAAAGAGATCCAGTGGTGCCCCACTGTTATACAAGGTCCGACTTAGCTGATCACCAGGACCTATGAAATCCTATAGTCCCCGTTCGAATCCCACATTCGCCCTTCGCTGGAGTTTATCTGTTGCCTGATCAGATCAAAACCCGTGCTCGGCTACGTGACACCATCCGGCATGACTTTGGATCTTCTCAAGTCTTACCAAAAGGGCAAAAGTAATGGCCATATGAAGTGTAGAATGTGTGTAAATGGGTATCCAATAGGGGGATAGTAATCTCTACGATAACCTTCCAGCACCTCATATGCTACATGGGCTGTATTCTCCCATGTATGAATATTGAGAGCTAACTTGTAACCGACAGGGATCATTATAAGATATAATGTCGTCTGGGTGTACATAAGAAAACTGGAAAGGTTAATGTACAAATTCCTAACACATTCCCAATAACACGTAGTATTGCTACATGTGCTAATCGATTAAATCTTTCTGGGAACAATGATACACTGCATCGATTTTACGTGCTGGCAGAAGTCTGAAAATCTGAACAAAGGTGATGCTTGTTTTCAGTGTGTGAACGAACAGAACGGTTTTATGTCCAAGAGAAGCCTGATCGGTTACAGCTCAGAAAGTGTGGTTAGTCGTACATGGTCAAGCGATCAATTATTGGACTTGAACTTTAAATGAGTCCTGTCTCTCAAACTACAGTTCACATAGACACAAGTATACTTACTACGACGATTGATACGTACTTTTTTCAGCTAGATTTGGTAGGTTTCGATTCTCATGCTGTTAATCACCGGAACTGAACGGCTCTATGTCCAAGTGAAGCCTGATAAGGTACAGCACAGAAAGAGTGGCGAGTCATTGTCGATCAATTTATCAAATATTTGAATCGAACATTCCCATCTTACAATCTTCACGTAGTAAGAATTTGATAATAATTATGTACTTACAACGATGATGGATATAGGTACTTTCAGAGAACTTTGGGTTTGGAAGGTACTCGGTGTGACATCATCCACTCTGTAAACTGATATGTATGGATCCACTACATGATTGATAGGTATCGATCCCCTATATGATTGATATGTATGGATCCACTACATGATTGACATGTATCGATCCCCTATTTGGTGGATATGTATGGATCCCCTGTATGATTGACAGGTATCGATCCCCTATATGATCGATATGTATGGACCCACTGTATGATTGATATGTAACGATCCCCTATATGATCGATATGTATGGACCCACTGTATGATTGATAGGTATCGATCCACTACAGCGATTAGTATGCGTTCAACCAGTGTGTTGAATAATATATTGTGTGGATCAACCGTGTTGGTGGAGGTTGGTGGAATCTAAATGGTATCGATCCAGACCCTGACGGTTCATGGGTGGTACTTCAATCGCCAAAACGCAGCAATATTCAATCATTATTTGCATCCATTTCACATGTTGAATGATTTTATAGGGTATGAAAGGAGCCTAGAATACATGATATGATACACAAGTACGAGAAATGTGCCGCGATTAACAGCTGAAGAGAGAGAAAGAACGATTGGGATGGTAGATGGGATCGACGTCAATGCTATTGCCAACGCCCTCGGATGCCACCGTATCACGATTATATGACTTATTCAGGGCTTCAGTCAGACTGGGTCACCGCAGACAGACCAAGAAGTGGACGTCCACGCATCACAACACTGGCTGAAGATAGGTACCTCAGTCACTAAGGCATGAGGGTAACGTTTCTTTTGGCGTTTAGTGTGGGTACTTTCACAGAACATTGGGTTTGCCGGGAATTTATTCACAGTTACGTGAGTTTTTTGTAATTTGTAATAACATTGGTTAGGTGATAATAGTTATGCGTCACATAACTGTTTAAGTTTAAGTTTTGAGTGTTGATTGTGGGTCACATTTCGCTTCATATATGTTCCATGATAATAGTATTTTAGCGGTTCGTCTTTTAGTAGCGCTCCAGAGTTACCTGCCCTTTGCAATGTTTTCATTAACCTGTTGACTTCCGGCTTCATCATGGTGGTTAATACAAGGCTGTTCCCGTAGATTCTGAGTGTTTAATGATACAGCCATGCTTTGCTGGAAAGTTCGAGAATCTGTGCTAGCATATATAAAGGCTGGCTGTTGTGTGGAGCGACACGCAAGGACTGACACGGACTAACATACGGAATTAATCGGATATCACTGGAGTTGCCATTTGTTGTTGTTCTTCGTCTTCGTCAGGTTCGGTTCAACCCCCGAACGGGTACTTGAGCCCGATCGGGTACTAACACCCCGATCGGGGTAATACAATCGCCCTCAAATCGCAGAAAAACCATGTTTTTCTCCACCCAAGCGGCAATTTACATCGGCACATTATGGTGAGTTGTTATAAATGTCAACGAAACCTCCAACTAGGCTATGGTTACACGCAAGTTCCTAAATGATGCCGCATTTTAGTCGTTACCCCCTCGAAACAGAGAACCCCTGCGGTGATAATTTAATATTAACATAAGTATCGTCGCTTCATCATCTAGTTGTCTGTAAACTCTCATGATATTTCCGTTTACAAAGCAAACATATTTTGGTCCCCTTGCATTACTAACCTTTCAAGTGCAATGTACAGTGGCATGTACAGTGGATTCATATAAAAAAATGCTATTCATGATCCTTTTATTATTTGAATCTTAATTCTGGTTCAGATAAAGAAATTTTAAAGAAAAGTTCTTTTCTTTAGGGGGGAGAGTGTTACGAGAGTGTGTCACGTAAATTATTTAACCGTAACAATATGTGCGGATCCACGTGCACTGTATGACTGATAAGTATCGATCCTATATGATTGATATGTATGGATCAACTATATGATTGATAGGTATCGATCCTATATGATTGATATGTATGGATCCACTATACGATTGATAGGTATCGATGCCTTATATGATTGAGGATTGATATGTTGGATCCCATATATGATTGCTAGGTATCGATCCACTATATTATTGAATATGTATAGAGCCTTTATATGATTGACAGGTATCGATCCTCTGTATGATTGGTATGTATTGATCCCCTGTATGATTGATAGGTATCCATCCTATATGATTGATAGGTATCGATGCACTATATTATTGATATGTATCGATCAACAAATATCCTTTATAGGTATCAATCCATTATATGATTAACATGTATCGATTGATATATTGTGTGGATCAACTGTGTTGAGGTAGGCTGAGGGAATATAAATGGTATCGATCCAGACCCTGTTGTTTCATGGGTGGTACTTGTCACCTTCTGCTTTGGATTTTAACATGATTCTACAAACAGTCTGACTAATGGTTGATTCAGTGGAAGCAAAACGGGTGGTAAACTACCCATCAATAACTCTTTAATGTGTGATGAATGAAAACCAAGCTTGTTTACTTGTTCCCTCTGATTCAACCCCAGACTGTGACATATCTCCCCTACAGCCCTGAGTGAGTGAGTTTTCGTTTTACGCCGCTTTTAGTAATATTCCAGCAATAACACGGCGGGAAAGACCAGAATTGGGCTTCAGACATTTTACCCATGTGGGGAATCGAACCCGGGTCTTCGGCGTGACAAGCGACCGCTTTAATCACCAGGCTACCCGACCGCCCCCTTAATGGTTGAGGAAGTGGCAGTAGAACGGGTGGAAAACTTCTCCTCAACAACTCTTTAAGAGGTCATGAATGAACACCACTTTTGTTTACTAGTTCCCACTGATTCAAGCCTACACTCTGAGACCACCTCCTCCACACGCCTGAACTTGATCGAAAGAGTTAATCGCTTGTAGTTCCCCGTGACGTTTATATTCACTATGTCAAGTCATTATATTCTGTAATCTGCTATTTGATGTACATCTAACGGGTCCATGCAGGTAGTAAGTATACCGTTACCCCATGGTCCCTCGTATTGTGATCACCCTTCAGTTGCTGGTGATCTTTTGCCCGTTTTTGTATTGTACTATTGTCTATAGTGATGTCGTGTGATGACAGCTTACTATTTAAGTTAAGATCTGTGATAGTCAAACAATTTATTGTCCGTCGACAACAGGTTTTACAGTTTCTTAATAAATTGTTCATTGCACAATATGGCTGAAATATTGCCGATTTGACGCTATTCATTAACTCACTCACCCACTCTAACGAGATTCCGCTTACTACTGAATTTGGTTTCTTGGCGACTAGACTGCCATCCGTTTCTGGAGTTTGTTTGGTATATTTCCAGGACCAGTGAAGCCGGGACTCCCAATGTAAAGGATGTGAAGTAGATACCGACACAAGTACTCAGTAGATCCGACGGAGAGTTGCTGATTAGTTCCCGATGTTAGAAGAGTGTGGCTAATGGTTGAGCATGTGGCGGTAGAACGGGTGGAAGTCTACCCTTCCCTCTCTCTGACTGAAAATCAGGACAATTCAGTGTTTCGGTCCACCACCCAGTACCCAAACGCCCTGCATAACACTGGAAACACATGTCATGTGACCGGACATATTACTGGGGCCTGTTTCACAAAGCGATCGTAGCACTACGACTGTCGTAAGTGTATGTCTAAGTATTGGAGTTACGATCACCTTAGCGCTACGACTGTCGTAAGTCTACGTCTAAGTATGGGAGTTACGATCACTTTAGCGCTACAATAGTCGTAAGACTATGTCTAAGTATGGGAGTTACGATTACCTTAGTGCTATGACTGTCGTAAGACATTAGAAAGTAATGACAAAATAATGTAGTATTTACTAAATATGTTTGTCACAGCTGGAGATGATTGCAAAACCACTTTGTTCATAGTTTAATTAATTCAATGTCATGCTTAACTGCTTCATATTCAAGAAATTATGTCACTAATCCCATACATAAAAAATGATAAATAAATGATTAAATAAATAAGACAGAATTTAAGAAATAACAATAAATAAAAAAGATAACGTCCACTCTTCAGTGATCGAAAACTGAACCCAAGATCGGGTTACAGCAGTAAAGCTAATCAAAAGTGGGTGTAGTGCACTCTACCTAGTAGTGCACTAACCCTAAGGATTAGAAGGGGTACCTAACATTAAGGATCAGAAAGAGTACCTTATCCTAAACCCTAACCATGAGGATTGTAGACTGGCAGCGAAGGGAGACGGAGCAGGTATAGCCATATAACGAGACAGCGCAGTAGCGTTATAGATTCCAGCGCGATAATTGCTAAGCAGCGTGCCTGCTTCACCTGGTAAATTTCACATTTGCCTCAAAAGCGAAGATGACAATATACATGGAGTTTGGGTGGTGTTTTTTTTAAACCATAAAGAGAACCAATTTTCATTATGCCACTATCAGGATCATTCGGTGGTCATTTTTACGATGTAAATGGATGGATGGCCCTTGATCTCCGGACCGTAGAACTTAGATTCACACAACACCCTATTTGAGCGCGATATAGCGAGGGCCATTTAGAACTTGGAATATACTGACAAGCTCGAATCTTTCCTCTTTCCTGTTACTGAAATTTGCAAATAATGAAACGTTCAGTAACAGGAACAAGGAAAGAGGAACAAGGAAAGAGGAACGAGGAACGAGTCCGTTGATCGATAGTATTTGTAAAAACGAATTGACAACAAAACACTGAAATTCTAACAAGGTTGTAACTGACACAAGATACGGCAATTTTACAAACTGACTGAGTGAATCAGGCAGTTTAGAAATTGTCTGATTTTCACACATTGACTATAAGACATATACGTTTTAGTTTGGCTGAAAGAAGATACCTTTTGAAAGACGGTCGAATCAGGTGCGTGTATATGTGTGAGTATGCGTGCTTTCGTGTCCGTGCGTACGTGCATGCGTGTGTATGTGAGTGTGAGTGTGTGTGTGAGAGAGAGAGAGAGAGATTGGTGATAGGGTACTAATAAGGCTTTCCGATCAGTAAGTTATGGCTTTTATACTTTTTGCTATGGAAATTGCATTACATATTCAATAACTGACCTCTGGTACACTGTTATATACGACATACAAGGCAGGCACTGCTCATTACAAAAAACACACAGACATTTGTATTCACAAAGTCTGGGCGTGAACCGTCAGTTCCGAAATTGTATTACACAATTGTATGAGTTATATGACTGACTATAGCTGCACAAATTTCACTAATTATACTTTCAAAGTATAATTACAATGCATTAGTGGTTCCCGGTGTAAAATACTGTTGTATATTGTAACCATGCACACCCTTGGTATAACCAGACATTCAGAATCCAGACATTATCCCATACGGACATACCCGTGAAGATCCGGGTTAGAATTGATCTTCAGAAACCAATACTTGTCGTGCTTGGATTGGGTGGTGAGGCTAACTGATCTGGTTGACACATGTCATTGTATCCCAATTGCGTAGGTCGTTGCTCATGTTGATATCTGGTTTGTCTGACCCAGACACGATTATTAACAGACCGCCGCCATATAGCTGGAATATTGATGAGTGCGGCGTAAAACAACAAACCAAATCCTAAAAATCCTATAAACATTTTGAAGTTAATTCAAATTCTAATCGTAGTTTAAAGAATAAGACAATGCATTGTCTGCCAAATTATTATTACTACGACCACCCTAGAGGATGTTTCACCTAAAGTTGCTTCTTCAAAGATAAAGAGAGCAATAGAATACGATGCTAGGTATGGCGGTACTACTTCAGATAATAATGCCTTCCGTAAATCTTAATAATCACTAATCGCTGGGTATCTGTACAATTATATGCGTCATGGAGGGGAACTCTTGTCGCTACCTTTCTCAATGATATAAATATATGTATGTAGAGAAAAAATTGCAGATACTTTTAGAAGAAAGTGTTTGCCTTAACTGTAAGAATGGTGTCTCGTGTCTATGACATGGAGATGATGTGACCTGTGGTAAATGGCATGTACTTTTATTCTCATCCGTGTGTGATGATACATATTGTTATCTGATGGTCTTATAGTTGCTAGTTTTATATCTATATCTGTGATAATCTAGTTGTTTTACTGTCCTTCGTCGGCAGAATTTTATAATTTCACTTAAATTGTTGATATATTTATAACTTGCTTTAGTCACGATATGGCTGAAATATTGCCGATGTGACTTAAAATCTTAACTCACTCACTCACTCACTGATGGTCTTAACGGGTTATCAGGTTGATGGTAATATTTAAAGATATCCGGTATTTCTTGTACTGCATTTTACAGTAAAATTCATCAAACCTTCTCCACACATGTCTGTCATTTATTTCATCGCGCGGTACCCCATCTCTACTGGACTGTAACTCGATACTTTAAATGGGTGGAGTTTCTGTGCACTGTGTCTAAGTGAGATCTCTTTAAGAAATGGATGGCCGCACGCTCAAGATCTTGAACCTTCATAAACTGGCAGTCTGGGGATGTTTATCCTTTTTCAGTACTTGTGCTAGAAACAATCATGTTATGTGTATATGGTCTTACAGGAAGGGCGGACTACATAATTCCCAAATGTACCTTGGAATGATGTTTTTTCTGTATGTAAAGTAACAGTTGAATCAGGTTTGTCACTATTGGCAGAGCATGAAATGTCGACGCAAATTTCGGAGGAATGTTAGAAAGACAGTGATACAGTTATCTCCGATGTTGTAGAAAACACTCCACATACTCAGGAAAACAATAACTCATCGATGTATTGCACTCATATCGGAATCGATACTTGGGGCACCTGTCAGATCTTGAACTTTAACACGAGAGGTCGTCTGCATCTTTGGCCGGCTGAAGGTCGACAGGATGTTCAGCAAACCTGGAACGTAGTTAGTCATGCGCCTGCTCCAAACAACGGAATGTATATCCAGTGAGAAGGATTTCTTCGACAGGGAAAACGACTGAGATTCAACATCCCCTTTACTTGTGCGACATTTGCCTTGGCGATCCGAGCTCGTGGATCGTCAATTCAAACGGATTGATAGACAGTCAAGGAATATTTCCAAATGGCACGGGGGTCCAACATTCCTATGATATGCTAAAAGAACGCTTGCCGCCATTTGAGGCATCGTCCTATGACACTCTGTCATAATCGCTGTACGGCATAAAACTCTTTTCGATTTCATGCTTCACAGAATAAGTCATTTGATATGAACTGGTTTTTTGTAAACTTTTGCGTTATTGAAACAAGTGTGGACTACCTTAATGTTAATATATTAAGTTATTACAGAAACAGCTTAGCAGAAGGAAAAATAACATGGTTCAGGCATTATCATAACAATGTAGTGCAAAACATTCCATTTATGTACTTACAGAGATGTACTTTATACAGCAGTGTTGCTCGAACTAAATAGACTATAATATGATAATGATACTTTATTACCCTGAAGGGCATTTGTTTTAAATGTAACAGACAGAGCAACACAATGAACACTCATGGTACACGAATACAACAATATACACCGTGAACATGTGAAAAGAAAAACAACAACAAAAACAAAATAAATACATAAATGAATAAACAAAACATACACACGAATAACTTAAAGGATTAATATAGGTTATGAGAAACTATACATTAAAGGGTTCCAGGTATATGGCATGCAAAAATAATCAAAACTATACACAGTGCTAAGGTAGCTAAAATTAGGCTGAAGAGTCATTTAACAGGGGAAAAAAGAACACTTTGCACGTTTAGTTGTAAGGTTTGGCACTTGATATCTGCGGCCTGATGACAGGAGGACATATGTCATGTTGAGAGCATGTGTTGGATCGGCTACTACTTTGCTAGCAAGGGAGAGGACTCTGTTGTAGTGCATGTCGTCTAGCCTGGCTACTGTTGTCGCGGGAATCTTGCTGCTGATGTTCAGGATCTTGTTCAGCTTGTTCCTGTTTTTCACTGAGAGAACCATACCAGACTTGTATGGAGAATGTCAGGACACTTTGTATGAAACACCTGTAGTATGAGAGCATTATTCTTGTCTCCGCTTGGAAAAATATAAGCTTGCGCATGAGAAACAGTCTCTGCTGGCACTTATTATACAAGGTGTTGGCGTTGGTGTTGGCGTTCCAGTTGAGCTTATTGTCTAAGACAGTGAATAGATACTTATACTCTGTGTTTATTGTCATGGGATGTAATGCCTCTTTCTTCATGCGAAAGTCTATTGCCATCTCTTTGGTTTTAGATATATTCAACTGTAGGTAGTGTCTCTCAACCCTGCGGGGCGCCGGTGTTAGAGGTTAAGATGGATGAGTGGACGTTATTCACGCGTACAACTGCTGGCGTTCTGTTAGGAAGTCCGATATCCACAAGACGGGTTTGGAGTTCACGTCTGTGTCAATAAGGTTCTGGGAGGAGCGTTAGAAGGTAGGGGAGGAGTGATCGCTTAAAGCATTTTCATTGCTAGGCTGGTCAAGGCAACAGGTCCATAGTCGTTTAACTGCATGCACTTTGTCCTCTTTGGCACAGGTATAATTTCGGATAGCTTCCAGAGTTTTGGAATAGTTTGAGTGTTCAGCGATTGTTGGTAGAGCTTACACAAGACAGGAGCAAGTTGATGACTACAACTCTTTAACACTTTACCTTGTATTCCATCAGGTCCACATGACT